CCAAATTTTGCCAAAAATGAAAAGTAGAGAATTCCAATTTTGATTACATTTGCTGATGCATATACATGTACTTATGTTGTGTAGAAAGTTTGAGCTGATTCCGATCAAAATTGGATTTTTTACAAATTTAAAAAGTTGCTCCAAAATTGAGTCAAAGTCCCTGTACTATAATAGTACAGGGTTGTTGGCCAATTTTTGCCAAAAATGAAAAGTAGAGAATTCTCCATTTTTATTACATTTTCAATGCATACACGTATACATGTACTAAGTCCCTGTATTTGTCACTTGTTTCACTTTTCCTCTTTCCCCATAGGCTGCCACACAGTGCGAGTTCACTAGACAGGAGTTTGTAGAAGGGATGACCAGATTAGGGTAAGGACCAGTGTACATTATAAGTTAACAAACACAACTATACTCACTTTCTCCCTCTTTCTCTGTAATAATGGTATTAATATTGATAAAGATTTCCTTGTCTATTTGCTATACATTATTTTACTGTGATTCACATTCAATATAATAGTCTTTCTACAATTATAAGTACAATTCTACCTCTCTCTCTCTCTCTCCCTCTCTCAGGTGTGATTCCATTGATAAACTCCGTAAAAGGTGTGAGACCATTGATCGGGAGATACAGGACTCACAACAGTTCAAGGACTTCTACCAATTTACGTTTAATTTTGCCAAAAACCCGGGGCAGAAAGGACTAGGCTAGTTACATATTATTATTGTCCATGTTGGATCATGTTTGCTAAACTTGTGACTCAGTGATTTTAATGTACATGTACATATGTTGGTAGGAATTTCCCTTGAAATGCACGTACATGTACAGTACAGTACATGTGTATATTGTATGGATTGGTTAAATTCTTTTCCTTTTTCTTTCTCTACAGATCTTGAGATGGCCATTGCCTACTGGAATTTTATTTTTACTGGTCGCTTCAAATTTTTGGACTTGTGGTGTGAATTTTTAAAAGTAAAAAATACTTGTAATTACAAGCCACTTTTACTGTAATTATCTTGACATTCCCTCCCTCCCTCTCCCCTCCCTCTTTCTCTCTCTCCCTCCTTCCCTCCCTCTCCCTCCCTCCCTCCCTCCTTCTCTCTCTCTCTCTCAGTCTCATTATAAAAGAGCAATACCCAAAGACACTTGGAACCTTCTGCTAGAGTTTTCAAACACGATTGATGACACCATGAGCAATTATGATGAAGATGGTATGTCTATACTGTATAAATTGTAATGTCCTGTTTAAATTATTTGTATACCACTTTAACGTATGACAGCTTTATTACTTTGTAATTTTTGATGATTTTATGCAAAGAAGTACATGTACTTTACTATGAATATGTACATGAACATTAATGATTGTATGGTGGGCGTATTATTCATAGTTCTGTCTATAATGTACAGTGTATACATGTTTCTTGTCATTTCTCTATCTCCTTCTATTCTTTGTGTAGGTGCTTGGCCAGTCCTTATTGATGAATTTGTGGAATATGCTAGACCTTTAATAACTAATGCTACAACACCAGCTGCTAGTAGTAACAGCTAGTAATAATTAATTATATTAATTGATGATAATATGCAGCAATAACTGATACTCATACACAATTATGTGCTAGTAGAATTAATGAACCAGTCAAATATTAGAGACACTATACTGTAATACACACACACACACACACACCAATGTCTATTTTTATCTTAATACTCCTCTCTTTCCTTTCTCTTTCTCACTTTCCTGGAATTATTATTGTGTTGTGAATGACCATTCCCAGAACTCTACAGAACAAGTGTATGGAAACCACGTGCTATAATAATAATAATAATAATAATAACGAGACACCTACGGTGCATGGCCTCGCCCCTATAGCTGCTATGGTGCATGCCCGCACTTCAATAACTGTTTGATTATCAGCATGAAGAGAGTCTGCTCAACACTAGCTTCCTACAGTTGCACTTGCTCTTGAATACCTGCAGAAGTAGCAGCACTGCAGCACATACATGCAAGTAGCTCCAGCCCCTCCCATGCATGTAGATTGAAAGGTGTGGCATTCTATGACTGGAATGAGTGGCAGCAAGAAGACCATGTGAGAAAGAAGCTTCACTTTTTCTTTACTAATCAGCAATATATGATAAACTTGCTGACAAAAAAAGTTGTTGCCTTTGTATATTTGAGATAGTATAGGTACTTTAGTACCTATAACCCAGCAAGTTGTTGCTCTAGCGCTGCACAAACGAGTGACCTCAACAATTTCAAGTAAGTATAACTCTTCATCAAGTAAGATTTAGAGAAATCTGTTCATAATTTTTGAAGGCCATATTCTAATCTACTGAAAAATGCTACCAGCTATCTCTAAAGTGCCAACACAACGGAACTTGGCCCAACTACTCGATTTTCTTACTTTGAAGCTTCTGTACCTAGCACTTGTATTTGAGCAACACAAAACAGTTAAGAAAGACTTTTCCACGTCAAAAAGAAAGATCTAGGAGCTTAGAACACGCTGTGCTAAAGTTATTGTTTATTAAAAACAAATTTCAGTTGTACAGAATGAATGAATGAACGAGAGCACTAAAGTGCATACCCTCGCCACTGCAATGTACATAATTTATTTTAAAATTTTGAAAGTTAAAAAGGGCAATAGCCCCTCCAAAAATTTAAGTATTATTAAAATTGTTTTCTAGTTGTGTTGACAAGATTTGACAAGTTTGCTTATAAAGTAAGTTTTTTGAAAAGGCTATCAGTGGGTTGTATCAGGATTATCCTACGCTCCTCCCAT